ATATATATAGAAAATGACCATGTGAACCAGTGGGCTCACAAGAAAAAATGAGCCCAACGGCCCAAATTGAATTTAGGTCGATCTAACGATCACGGATGCTCAATAGTGTTGGATTTTTTTTTTTTTACAAATTCAAATCACTTGAAATTTTAGCCGTGTGTTAAATTTAGAAAAATATCAAAAAAATATTTTACATGATAAAACCTAACTAAAATTCCCCCGTAAAATTTCAATGGGTATTTTGGTTAAGTTATTTTGTGGATTAATTTTTTTTATATTTTTATTAGGTGCGCCTTGATGAGAAGAATATATGCCTAAAATTTTAAATGATTTGGATTTGTAGAAAAAAAATTAAAATTCAAACACTACCAAACATCGATGATCGTCAGATCGGCCCACATTCAATCTAAGCCGTTGGACTCATTTTTTCTTCTGCGACCACCGGTTCACAGGATCATTTTCCTCTCTCTCTCTATATATATATATATATTAGCTCCATTTAGAAAATAATTGAAACTGTCGTAAAATAGCTGATCCATTTAGAAAATAATTGAAACTGTCGTAAAATAGCTGATTCATGGAGACCAATTTTTCGAGCAACACCTCGATAAATTCTGCAACAAAATTTTAAAATTTCATGAAATAACATTCTTTGTATCTACTGTTGCAAATGCATGCGAAACATTGAATTTTGGTAATTTTCAGATGCTCTTGGCTGTGTGGAGTTATGCTTTGAGTCAGTAAATTTTAGGGAAATTATTAAAAATATCTTTTTATTGTAGAAATAAATCTTAAAATTTCAAAATCTTATTCATACCCTTTTTGAACTGTTTTTGTGCTTTTTTTACTAAATTACTCTTCATGATAGTCCTAGGCCCGTGAAGATACCACTGTTAACCCGTAACCATGATGGGGTTTAAGTCATGACGGTTCTGGCTAAACCATGAAGGTAGGTTAATATTTGGACCATAACAGTACTTGCCAAACCATGATGGCTCTGGGACCTAGTCAACTATTACCATATTTCTTCAAACGTGATTGGTCTATCTAACCACCACAACATGGTCCATGAAAGGGGTATCATGGTTGTGCAACGATTGTGGTTTGCATCACGGTTCTTTATTAGCTGTAGCCTAACATCACGGTTATGAATGTATAATGATGATTTAAATGGTAACTTCACATCACGGTTCTAGTAGAATCGTGATGATTTAAATGGAATATGACCGGGGTTTGGAACCTCTATAAGCCATCATGGTTTTGAGTGGGCATTGATGCTTTCAAGGACCTAAGATAATTGTGTATGAGTATTTTAGTTTAAAAAAATAAGACAGTCGTGAATGGGTATTTTAGTTTAAAAAATGAGAACAATAGTGAAATGGGTATGAATTAGGTTTTGACAAATTTGAGATTTATTTCTAATAACCTAAAAGTAAAAGAATATTTGTGATAATTTTTCTAAATTCTATAAAAATAAAATAAATATCAATTTTTTTTTTGTAAAATTTATGAGGAATAAATATGAAAGCAAAATTGAGGATAGTTACATAGACTCTTGTAACAAGGCTGCTTGAGCGCTGGATCGTCCATGGCGGCTGGTGGTTGTTGCCCAAATATCATTTCGCAGCTCATATCCTCGAAATCTATGTTCAGCAACAAATTTTTTTTAAAAAAAGAAATTTAAAATATGATACAAAGGGAAAAAGGATACTTTAATCCAAAGAGAGTAAACAACTTGAAAAAGGCAACCCAAAATTTGCTAAGGTCTCACAAATGCTTATATTTTTAAAATATTAAATATTTGTCGTGTTTCCTGACATGTCGATTAAAACAAGATACCATAAGCCCATTTCTAATGCCCCCATAACAGTATTTATAGCTATTAAACCTATGCTTCTCACTTTAATAACACCTACTCTTTGCAAAGGCGTGCATACTACGACTTATATGATCATTGCAGTAGTATAGTCATATGGGTGTCAACATTAGATGAAGAACCTGATTCCCGTAAATCCTAAGACTCATATGTAGATATGCGTCCCTTTTCTATGATCCATTTTTGACATAAATTTTAAACTTAAGTTTTTAGAAATATAAATATTTGACATGGAGATCATTAATGTATGAAACAAATAAACTTTAAAAGCTACAAAAGAAAGCTTTTTTGGCTGGTGGCATGTATTTTATTGAAGGACCACCGCTTTATGTTTATCTATAAAATAAATATATTATAGAAAAGTATATAATGAGACCATTTGCCTTGGCTACAAAGTAGCCACAATTAATCTTGACAATTAGATGTGAAATTGGGTGGTTGCATTTATTTCATTGACCATGCTCAAAGTTCAAAAGATATTTTTTTGAACTTTATGGCACAAATTTAACATTGGATGGTTGTAAGCAATTGTAACACACCCAAGCTATCAAATTTCACATTGGATGGTTGTAAGCAATGTATCAAAGGTAAATGATCTCAATATATACAAAATCCCATATATTATGCCTCCGAGGACCCAAATATAGGAGTGCATCCCTGATGCATAAACGACTACTCCTAAGATGAATGCGTCGGTGATAGAGGGTGAGTGCGTCCCACCAAACATTTCCTTGGAAATGTTATTGTCCTTGTCTTCCTCCATGGCCATAGATCCATTGGTTCAAGTGCTCACCACTATGACCTTCTATGAGCCACAATTACTCATAGCTTAGATATCTGATTTTAATAACTTAGAGTTAGTCATAAAGTTTAAAATTTTTTATTTGACCTTTTTGTTTTTTTGGTTTTTTAAGTGGGTGGATTAGTGGGGTTGTGGCACATACCACCCTAACCACCAATGCCTTTAGTCTGTTTGAAATTTGTTGGACTTTGACTCTTTTTTTTTGGATAATTTAGTTATGATGATAAGCTCCTAACCATTTTAAAAATTGTTAGTGATTTTTGAATACGTTAGGTGATATTGGAAGCCTAGACCTTAGTTGAGACTCAAATGGTGTTACCAACGCGACCCCAACCCATTCTGAAACGGACTTTGACTTTTGTAAAAGATACACTCATAACCGCCCAATTGAAATTTTATGGACAAAAGTGATTGCGACATCCTTGTGATAAATTTCGTATACTTTTCCTATATCTCTCTCTCTCTCTACCATTAATTTTTAGTACAAAGAGGCCATAATCACACTTGTCCGTTAGATTTTAAGTTGAGTGGTTGTAAGTGTGTCGTTGACTAGATTCAATGTTCAAAATAAAAATTTTCAAACTTCGTGACACATCCTAAATCATCCAAATTGACATCTAATAACTAGGAGTGATTGTGACCTCCTTGTAATAATGATAAATCGTCTCATAGAATATATATATACCGACGTGTGTGTTTAAGTTTACCGAAATTGGGGATAAGAGCCCGAAGAGTTGGATTAGACTATATTAGTAGGTGCAAGTATTTATATAATCATAAGGGTGATTTGAATACTTTTTGCAGTAGGGCATGCAAATAGTAAGGGGGCATTTTTGTCATTTTTCTGCTGAAAATTTCGAAAGTGGAGCTTATGACTACTTACTGGGGACCATGTTGACTGGGATTCCAAAAGAGTCCTTTAGGAATTTTTGAGATGGAAGTTTGCACATATTTACGCACATGCCTGCACAGTGTGTGGTCTCCAAAAACCTGAATTTTTCAGAAACAATTAAAATTTAGAACAGAAAAAAATGGATTTTTATACATCAATATTTCTATTTGTGCACATTATCCGAATTTTATTTTCCTAAGAAAAAAACAAATAAAAAGGCATCCATAATCGATAGAATTTGCTATTTGCTCTTAATAGTAGCATGAATTTTAAAGAGTCAATATCATTATTATCGTCCGAACCTTATCCTAACTATTTGAGGCCGGCTGATATAAGTTTGGAGTTCATATAAAAATTTGGCAAAATTTTATATTAGCTGCCTATTTAAAACAATCATCCTCCTTTATTTATTATTATTATTTTTTAACTTGGTACCGGCATGGCTGGCTTGGGACTAACTAAGGCAAAGTTAATTAAAAGTAGTCGATATGGTGAAATAATAAGCTAAGATTAAAATGAACTCTTGTAATTTCAGCATGATCCATGTCATTGTGGAAATCACAAACAACTAAAGTCCAATTCCATGGTAACAAATGCCCTTAATAAATAGCAGGGTGAAAATAGATTCAATTTTCTCTAATAAATTTTGGGTGAGCTTTACTTTCTTTTACTTGAGCTTTACCGCGTTTTGATGCAACGTTTTCAAAGGCAAACCTTGATATTTGTGCAATCCATGTATGAAATATATGCTGCTCCTACTCTCAGTCATTTGATTTGAATGGATAGCTGGGAAGTGCCAGCTTCCATGACAAAAACTCGCAAATCGATGACACCGACACTGATAATTATGAATTGAAATGAATAAATTTCAAGTGCTATGTCTTTCATATCTCGAAGTCTGATTTCAAGAGTTTACTAATCCACAATCAGCACCAAACTTTAATTTTTATAATTAGAAGTGGGAAATAGTTTGAAGCTATCGTAGGGATTTCTTTTGACATAAGAACTTCATTTTCTAATGAGATTTTCAGGTGCGACTTCAATTTTTATAATGAAGGCTACACCTTAGGCTGACCCACCCTTTGTTTATTGCCGAATCTTTGTGATGCTCACATTTTCTTTGTTAAAATGGAGGGAAATACCTGCATTTCTTGATGTGAACCACATTTTTCTCCTTTCTTCCTTCCACTTCTGTTTCCATGACCTGCAATCTCAAAATAGAGAGCGAGAGAGTTTAGAAACTCGGCAGCCTCAGTCTATTGCCAAGACTAGTTTCAGTACCAAATTTGCCGGGTCGCCCTTGTTAATAATTCTTAAATACTCAAATTTTGCCAAAAAGCACTGTTATATTTTTTTGGGTAAGAAAAAAAAACTCTGTTATATGGTTTAGAAATATGTTTTTATATGATTTTGTTGTTTCTTATGATGACTTGAGAACTTTTTTTTATACAAATTCTAATTTTTTTACTCCTTTTTCTAATTTTTCTGAAATATAGCAAGGTAAAAATAAAAAGTGTACAACCTTTTCCTCTTTAATAGAATTTTAGCGAATTCTATCACTTACTTCATTTGTTTTATTTTAATTATTTTAAACAAAATTTTTACCTTTTTTTTTTTTTTTGAATTTTTGGGCTTGTACAAAACTCAACCGAATCGGACTAGGCTCAACTGAGTGCCTTGGCTTTGGCCAGGGCTGACTCGCCCAAGCCGAGTTTTATAACATAGAGAGAAACTGTTTTTCGGCAATTAGGGATATACCTTTGAAATCTTAGACATTTTCTTTACTTTATTAACAAATTCAAGATGAAAATAAAGAAAATAACAAATGGATGAAATGCTACCTTGCAGTTTCCAACTAGCCAGGAGAACAGTATGGGGGTGGTGAAGGCGAAAATCTCCCTACTGAATCTTTTTGAGGGAGGAAAAATTGCTCTCATCTGCTAGGCATCAAACCACACCATTCCTCAAAATCTTCAAATAAAGCTCTTAAAAGTTAGAATCCTACTTATCTTTAAGAGTGGTTAAATTCTTTTTGTTTCTTTATGAATTTGTACTTTTTTTTTTTTTGAAAAAAAAGTTTATATAAGGTTGCAACTTAAAAATGTGGAATTAAGGTGTACCTCAAAAATCCATCATAAAAGGGTGTTTTGATTTTGGAAAACCCTTTAATTGATCATCTCAACATTGAGATGTATGAATATAAGAAGGAAACAAGATTCCAAGACCTAAAAATAGTATCATATTATCTGAACTGTCTATTTTCAAGATTTTCAAGTGTTTATAAATTTATTTGATTTGAACCACTTTTAGAGTTTAATATTTTATAATTAGAGATGAAAATAGATTCTCAAGCCATTCTAAGAAATTTTGATACCAAAATTATACTTACGAAAAAATTTGGAGGGGCTGATTGTTTAAGGTTGCAACTTTATACAAAATACACCCTATTTTTTCTTTTATTGATGGCAATTATGTGTTTTAGTTACTCAACAATAAACCGGTATGTGAAATATAGAGGTCCCATGGGGTTATATCGTGCATTTGGTCCTATACCTAGAAAATTTACTCATGCATGGAACCTAGATCTTCCTCAAAATGTCGTTAGTGTATCATGAGATCAATTATAAAAATTGAAAACTGTTTTTTTTTTGGGTAATTAAATTGAAACTGTTTTTGGATACAAATGTTTGCCCTCCAGATGGCTTGGATTCAACGTTGGAGCATTCGGTTCCAAAACTATTTTTATTCTGACTAATAGTTGAGTTATAACCTTAACTATAGGAAAAATCCAATGATCGCTTGCTGAGAGTTGAATTATAACCTTGCCGTAGGAAAACATTTATCCTTAGAAACTGCAGCAAGATGGATATATATATGGGTGTGGTTTGTATAAGATTGAGGTTCTAAACCATCAAAGAGGCACCTTCAAATAGCGTCCGAAGATGTATTTTAATTACCAAAAATCTTTATGATGGTTTGAAAATTCATTTCCATATCTAATTATATAATCTAAAGCTTCAAAAATTGTGTAGATCAAGTAGATCTATGAATATTTGAAAATCATAAAAATCGACAATCTAGATAATGCCTTACAAAATGCACTATTTCTAAGATTTGAAGTCCATTTTTTTTTTTCAGTCCATATATCTCAAGGTCTAGATGATAAGATTTTAGATTTTTTTGACATTGAAACAACTTTTGAGGTATATATATATAAAGATAGAGAGAGAGTTACGAGAGCCATGATTTGTTTGGGAAAAGCTTTCTGTAGGGAGAGGATGACTAGTTGTTGCTGATGGATCGGACTGAAGTTTCGAGAGACCGTTGCAGCCGCCTCAACCAGGCTCTCGTACCCTTTCTTATCATTTCTCAAACCTTCAAAAAAAAAAATGAACAACAGAATTAGAAATATCAAACAAGTCATCCCCAGTACTGATATCAGGAGATTCATTTACAGATACTCAAGGCTTTTTACTTCACTGTTTAACATTTTATTTTTTTTGCCAAAGGTGTCAACATTTGAAATTTAACCCAATCCCTTGTTCTACTTGTAAAAAGTCCACCAATGTACACATCATGATATATCAGAAATTAATAGAGAATCCATTTTCAACTTTGTAATTGTCAAACAATATGGTAATATCTGGGTCAGGTGCCGCTTACGTACTTTCCCAGATTCTCTTTATTTCGGTCATGTACCAGGTACTTTTAAGTAAATTCAAAACAACTGGTGGGTAAAATGATTCATAATTTGATTAGAGCGTATCCATCACACCATGTTGTAGGTTTATAAATATGAAAAAAATTATATAAGGTTGTAATTTTATTTATGGAAGTAAGGTAACAATAATCTAAACCATATATTTATTTGGACAATGTAGATTTAACACTGGCTTAAAACGATATCATTTTTTGATGTTCTCTCAAAAGACATGTCACACTTATACCCTCCACTAAAAGTATGCAGTGTAGAAAGTTACAACCTATTTACAAGTAAACTTGTAGTCTTAAACAAATTGTACCCAAATGAATAATACTCATAGGATATAGTGAATATGACTATCACACGACGAGGCCTTTTGTAAGGTGTCAACCTTAAACAATCAAAGTAAGATGCACCTCTAAATCTTGTTCAAAGATGTAATTTTGGTGTCGGAAACCTTTACAATGATCTAAAATGTATTTTAAGACCAACTTATGAACTTTAAACAATGGTGTAAGATCGAACAAATCGATAAATAACTGAAAATTTTGAAATAAACGGCTTAGATAATGTATTACAAGATGCACCTCTTTTAGAACTTGAATTTTTTTTTTTCTTCTTCTCATATCTATACATCTCGAGTCCATTGTAGAGTTTTTTGTTATTGAAACAACATTTTAAGTAGATCTTTGTGGTGAACTTTATTTTTATAGTATAAGGTTGACACCTTATGTAAACTTTTTCCTTCATTTAACAACAAATTTTAGATTTTTTTTTCCCTCTCCTTACAAAAGCAAGAAACTTTGTTAAGGGGAAGAAAAATAAAAAACAAATTTTTACTAATTTAAAGTAATAGAGTTAAGAATAATTAATCATGATACAATAGAGTCCTATTAAACGAGTTTTTTGCATTCGTATGATGAAAATAAGCTTTTTCATTTTCATGATTTCTTGTTTTAAGTTTTTTACAGGCAATAAGAAACCTATATTCTTATTTCTTAGAGGAAATTGATGGAATAATTCCCCAATATTTTTGATATTTTAAAGAAGTCGTGTGTATTTTCTATTTCATGCTCAACTACTTTTCTTTGTTAATTCCCCAAATACCCCTAATCGGAATTCTAACGCCGGAACTAAGGTCCTTTTTTTTTTTTAAGTGAAAGGCAGATACAGACATTGGATGTTTGAACAAGTTTTCTTTGAGCTGTGCCGCTTTAGACGTCTGAACCTATTTTTTAATAAAGGGTGATGGTTTATATAAAGCTGAGGTTATAAACAATCAAAGTAAAATGCACCTTTAAATAGCGTCGAGAAATGTGGTTTTAATACTAGAAATCTATGTGATAGCCTTAAAATATATTTTCATATCTATTTATAAAATTTAAAGCTTAAAAACTAATGTAGATTGAGCCGATCTATAAAAACTTAGAAATCTTGAAAATTGATGGTTCAAAAATGCATTGCAAGATGCACTATTCCCAAAACTTGAAATTCATTTTTTCTCGTATCCATGTATTAATTTGAAGATATTTAAACATCAAAACTACATTTTCTAATGAAATTTCCGAGGTGCCCCTAATTTGATTGTTTAGAGCCTCGAACTTATATAAACCATTTTCCTTAATAAAAAAAATGAAAAGGATGCAGCAGGGTTTGGACACTCAATATCCTATTTTTGACGATTTTCTTGGTGAATGACTGGTGGAGACTCGAGACATTGTCCGAACTTGCCTTTCATTCGAACAATCACAAGTGTGACATCCGATGTTTGAATCCACCCGATTTTTGTGTGGAAGTTATGTTCACACATTAGATATTTTAACAAGCCCAATTACAAAAGCAATTAGTCTAAACATCCCTGTTGAAACTGCCACTCAAAAAAGACCCAACGTTTGGGAATAGTAAAACATGAAAATGTGGAACTTTAAGTGTAAAATAGAAAATATATAAGGCTTTCTTTTAACATACAAATTTTTATTTAGGGTGAGGTTTGTATATAGCCGAAGCTTTAAACAATTAAAGTAAAACGCACTTTCAAATAGAGTTGAGAAATGTGGTTTCAATACTGGAAATCTTTGTGATAGCCTTAAAATATATTTTCATCTTTAATTATAGAATTTAAAGCTTCAAAAAATAGTGTAGATCGAGCAGATCTATGAAAACTTGAAAATCTGGAAAATTGACGGTTCAAAAATGCATTACAAGATGCACTATTTCTAAAATTTGAAATCAATTTTTTTGTCATGTCCATGCATATTGATGTCGAGATTATCAATTTGACGATATTTAGGCATCAAAACAACCTCTTCTAGTGAAATTTTTGAGGTGGGCTCTAACTTGATTGTTTAGAGCCGCGACTCCATATAAATTTTTTCCTTTTATTTATAAATTACCCTTTTTATTACTCATTGTTTAAAAAATCATCATCATCATCCGAGCTTTATCTCAGTAATTTAATATCGGCTGTATGAATCTTGTCATGTCATTTCGCTCCATCAAAGGCCATACCCTTAGTCAGACTATAAGTCATAACAACTATTATGACTAATTTCATCCATATCCTTTTGGGTATTTCCCTTGCCCATTTAAGACTTTCTACTCAAGCCAATCACCCCTCAAAACCGATATTCTAAGTTGATCCTGACCTGAATCTATTTTCCCTCACCTTATCGCCTATTTGAACTGCCACTAAGTTTTCTTGGATGTATTCTTTCAGGATTGTATCTTTGCTTGTCTTGACACTCATTTGTCTCAACTTCCTCATCTCCAATACACTGATTAGATGGATATGTTGTTTCTTGACTGCCATATTCTGTTGCATAAAATATTGCTGGTCTTACAACCATCCTATAGAACTTCCCCTTTAGTTTTTTTGAAATGCGATGATCACATAATACTCTACGTTGTCCATGTAGCTCTAATTCTATGCATGAAATCATCCTCAATATTTCCATTCTCATGGATTTCGACCTAGGATATTGAAAATAGTATCTTTTAGGCACTTGCGAGCCATTAATCTTGACTAATTTATCCTTTCTACGCCTATTATCGCTAAACTTGTATTCCACATATTCTGTCTTAGTCTAACTGATTTTAAGACCTTTAGACTCTAGAGCATCTCTCCAAAGTTCTAACATTGTGTTAGTGTTATCTCTACTCTCATCGATCAAAGTGATGCCATTTAAAAACAACATACACTACAAGTATCACATCCTGTAGATGCCACTTAACTCTCATCTATAGCCAAAAGAAAAAGATATGGGCTCAACGCTGACCCCCTGATGTAAGTCTACTGTACTGAAAACTTATTGGTCTCCCCATAAGGTGCCATTAAACTAGTTAGTACTCCTTCGTACGTATCCTCCACTATGTCAATATATCATCTAGAGACTTATTTATTTTCCAACACCCACTAAATTAACTCTATAGGTACCCTATTGTATGCTTTCTCTGAATCAATAAAAATCGTATAGAAGTTTTTTATCTTCTTCCTAAACTTCTTCATTAATTGCTATAATAGGAAAATAACCTCGATGTTTGACCTTCTTGACATAAAACCAAACTGATTTTCTGATACACTGGTTTCATGCTGTAGTCATTGCTCAGTCAATCTCCCACCACTTTATAGAGTAGCTCGTAAGTTGATCCATCCGTAGTTCGTAAAAACTATGTACATCTTCTTTTCTCTTATAAATGGGTACTATACTATTTTTTCTCCATCCATCTTGCATTTTCTTTGTTCTTAAAATCTTGTTGAGCAACTTGACTAACTAAAATATGTCAATTTCTCCTATACACTTCCAAACCTCTATTGGTATACCATCAGGTTTTAAATATTTTGTTATCTTAATCTTTCTCAAGGCTTCTTTTTACTTCCGATATCGAAATTTTAAGAATGTATCTATGACTTATGACTTCATTTATGTCAAGGGTTTTTCCTCACTCATTGTTTAAAAAATAACTCAAATAAATAAGATGTTTAAAAATAATGTGGGTCAATTGTGAAACAGAAGGAATATAGCTGATAAAATATTTTCAAAGAAAATATACAATAATATTATTAACATTTAGTAGAATGATCTCACAATTATTTTCGGCCATTGGACACGAATTTGGGTAGTTAGAGATGTGTCTTTGACTTTATTCGAATCCAGATTTTAATTTTAGACTTTCTTACGTACACCTGATTGTCAAATTTACTAGGGTGAATCTCACTTGTTTGTATGAAAAGCAAATAGTATTATAGAGAAAAATCCCTTCCGGGAAATTGCGGTTTAAGATTTCGCCGAAATACCGTCCAATTTAGGTAATAATCGGCCGAAATATGATGTGAGGCTGACGTGCTTATGTACGTGTCTGCCACCGACTCAGGGATGTCCGCCATTAGGAGCCGAAAAAGAGTGTAATTGGAAGCTTTGTCGGAGATTTCGGTGGAATTCGCGTAGTTGGTTGGCTGATAATCGATAAGAGCTTGGGCCATAAAAGACTAATGAGAAATTGCACACTACCACGACAATCAAATTAAAACCAGTTTCATGAGAGAGCGAGAGAGAGAGAAAAATAATGAACTTAGGACTTTGGAACATTTGGAGAGAGAGAGATTTAGGTGGACAAGAAAATAGTCAGGAAATCGGCAAAAAAAAAAATAAGGTGAGCTATGGAATCGTGAATCTTTTGGATTTTGTTCAAAAAATCGAATATATAAAGTTTACACAATATA